TCAACCAGGGGCAGACTGACAACTCATGGGGCCCCCCGGGCAATAGAGTATCACGGGGCCCCTGTGTCCCCTGTGCCCTTGCCCTACTGACCTGGCAGTGCCCGAGTTTCCAAATGGTCAGTCCACCCCTGCACTCAACACCCCCCCCATAACTGCACTGCACCCGGACTGCTCCCTGCATTTCCCTTGTCCTGTCCTGCACTCAGTGTGGGATCTGCTCAGGAGATTCGTTCTGTGAGAGCTGTGTAGGAGATAAGCTATCACTGGTAAAACAGAAGCCGGAAATCTGTGTGTAGCACCCTCTAGTGTGCTACTAGAATAGTGTAGTGTATTGTAGGTAAAATTATTGGGTATGCCTCATGGTAGCTGTGTGAGTCTGTGATTGAGGTCGGGTTATTGCAGGTCAGCTGGATGACTTAACAGGTTGTGGCTCTATCGCCTCCTTTCAGAAGCCCGTTAGCAGTAAGTGGTGGAGACCTAATCTGCAGGTTTATAGGCGTCTGACCTATCCCAGGTTTGGAGGCTCTGGTAGACTGGCACATAAATATGGAAGAGTTAGGCTAACAGAGGAGTTGGGTGGAAGATGGAGTGCTGAGGAGACTGTCGATGCCTGAGAGAGGTCCCTAGGTCTAGGGGGGGGGCCTCCAGGCTGGGATCGGGATGGCTCAGGAGGATACATTCAGCAATGAGGTGTGAATAGGATCGAGACCTGGAGCAGCAAGGAGCAAAGAGGACAGAGTGAGTATAGCAGCACTGTCTGGAATCTACAAGGGGAAAGACTGCCACATGTAGCAGGCTTCCGAGCAGCCAGGAGGGTTGGTAGTGTCGGAAGGCTGTGGAGCTGGGAGCAGCTCTGCAGGGGGAGAGAAGATATCTCTGCATGTAGTTACGAGAAGCTAAGCTGATTTTTGAGGGTCTGCTAGTTCCTTACCCATAAGGGGCTGTTGCTACTGATCCGTAACGATTGATGGCTTTCAAGAAAAGAACAGTCCATGATCTGTCTTTACACATGGGAAGGAAATTGTCCCCCCTTCATTGATTCAAGCCAAGTCAAGCCTATCCAAGTTATTTCCCTTAATAAAATAGCAAAAACCCACAAACTGGTTACTGTCTCTTGGATGCAAGTCTGTGTGGAAAATACCAGTTGTCTGGTTGTGCAGAGAGAGCTTAGGGGTACCCACAACACAAAGGCCCTCATGAGGGTAGTGCTACATGTGTTTACAAGTGATAAATGTGTGCAGGGAGCAGAGGGCCTGAGCCAGAGATGGTGGAATTAAGTTCCGACTGAAAAAAAGCCCTCCTCCAAAGTTAGATGACAACTTCTATACCTAATGTTGTGCTTGACTTTTTTTTCCCTCTAGGTTCTTTTAACAGCTCAGCATCTTTTGAAAACTATATTGTTTTAAATATGTAATGAGTTTTTTTAACCAGTTATTATTGTGCTAGAAAGGGTAAACATATAGTTTCCTGCCTCAGTTTTAATTTTGGATACAGTATAGGAGGGTTATAACAGCTGTCAGGTTTTTTTGCCACTGTGTCCCATTGGGGAGATTTTCCTTCACTTTTTGCCCCATAGCCAGAACAGAAAGTGAGAGGAAATCCCTCCAAAGTGTAGGAAATTCCTGGTAGTCATCAGCTCCCCGAGACGTGTCTCCCCATTGGAAGGTTTCTCCTCTATTTCTCTTCTGGTGACCACTTAAGATTTGGGATTTTCTTTCACTTTGAGTGATAATGGACTCCAGGACAAATGGGGTGAATTTCCCTAATGGAGACACTGACAGCAAATAAAACATGGCAGTTGCTCTAATTCCTCTCCACTCCATCCAAAATGAAGAGAAAATGCCTTTATTTGTACTTACTCAAAGGTTCCTTATGTGAATTGTAGACTGCCCCAGTAAAGTAAGTTTCTGCCATTCTGCTGTTGTATTCTGTATCCATTTTTTCTGGAAACTACTCAGTCTCAGAGGATGTGTACTCTCGATCTTTTCTACTTGCTAACTTCAATATACTATACTATATATATACAGCCAACTTTATACAAAAATATTAGGAAAGGCCATTCCTTTAAAGTGGAAGATAACACTAATACTAACTGTTCTTAAAAACGTTCCTTCCCCCCCTCCATCTATCCTGCATACCCATGAAAATAGATCTATGTACTTACCTATTTGAAAATCCACTCTGTCTGGTCAGATGATCTGGCAGTTCTGGCTCCCCTCTGTCAGTGAGCAACTGCTGCAGGGGAGAGGAGGGAGTTCCAACAATGGCTGGGCAACAAGAGCCTATGAGTGATGTCACAGCTCTAGTAATTCACAGCCATTGTCGAGGGGAGCTGGAGCTGGAGCATCATGTATAAAAATAGGTAAATTCACAGATCTTTTTTATAAAATGTATGCAGGATACGTATGAGGACGGGGGAGGGAACATGTTTAAGAATAATTAGCATCAGCCTTTACTATCACTTTATTATTCTTTTGCTGTTTTTGGAGATCATGTTACCCTATTGCTTATTGCATCAGATTATCTGTAGCAATACTAATGTTTCACTAAACAAACCATAGACCATGGTAAAAATATTTCATTACTAAAGTGATCCTATGCCATGGGATCGAACCCCGATTTACCTAAAAGATAAGTGTGAAGACCATGTTACATGCTTCCCTTTGAAATTATATCAAATAGAAATGCACCAATGCAGCACATTCAAGATGGAGACGATTGTTTTCATTGTTTACATTTGTTTTACTTTTCTGCATTCTAAAAATAAGGTATTATTATCGATACTAAACTTCCTAGCAGAGTTAAAGGGAACACAAATATTCTATATCATTCAGACTAGAAGGAGTTCTACTCTATGTAAAGTAGCTGTTATTAACCATATCAATCAAACATACCCTCCCTGTCACCGATTGCGGCACAAAAGCTTCCTTTTTATACCACCATAAATACCAATTCCAAATAACACGCTGCTAACACAATTAATTCACTGCCATTAATAACGTTAAGACCCCACAGCGCAACATTTCAAAACCACACTCCGCAGGGAATCTACGAAATTGTCTGGAGATGGATGAACTTACGGAGATACAAGTCACGTGTTTAATAAGGAGATGGAAAAGAGTATTTTTCAGGGCAAATTGCTGCTAACAAGCAAGCTTATAAAATCCAGGAAAGGTTCTTCGATATTCTCAGAATAAATTCCTAAGGAAAAAAAGTCATTTCTAAATGAATGTGACTTTTATTAAAATCCTTTAAATGCCAAGGTAAGAATTTAAAGGGTGTTTTACATTGGTACACAATCTACTCTAATTTTTTCTTCAGGATCTGCTTATGATTCAAGTCCCTTTCTTGATATTGGATCCACTTTCTCCACAATTCTCTGTAAAGTCGGTACTTTGAAAGTCAGAACAGCCTGGCACTCTGCTGTGTCCAAAGGCCTTTTATAACTGCTGCAGGTATGTGCAGGTACCTCTGCATGCGTACAGTGTATACCCGCAGCAGATTTTCAGATTTGTAAAATAATCTTGTAAATTTATTAGTTATCTTCCATGTTCTCATGCTGACAGATTTCATCTTAGGTCATTTCAAGCTTTCTACCATAATATCATTATTTATTTTATCATACAGAAGGCAGCCAGTGGCTGAAGTGAATCAACTAGGCCTGGAAACTCTGATGAGCTCCAGCTTCTCAGGATGGCTGCTTACCACATTTCTTTGAAGGCATAGTGCCTGAATTTCTTTTTTTTGCAAAAAACCAAACAATGTTGTTAGAGGGCCAGGGCTGAATAAGGATTTGGTTTCTTTTCCTAGAATTGTATTATTGCTTCTCAAAACAGGTTAGTTTTTTACAGATCCACTATGGATTAACAAAGACCATGCAATGTCTTCACTGTCAGCAGCTGTTAGAGTAGACTTTGATGTAACTGAGCCATTGGGTTAATAGCTTCAAAGGTATACTGTACCTCAGAAAAAATATTAAAGTAGAACTAAAAGTAGCACTTTTTCATTCTGGATATGGATGGTTACAACCCCTATCAGTTGTTTTGTTGCTGTCTGTGTTCCATTGGGGAGATTTCCCTTCACTTCCTGTCCCATAACCAAAAAATAACCAAAAAAAAAGAAGTGAGAGGAAAGTGAGAGAAGAGAGAAGTGAGAGAATCCCTGGTTGTCACCAGAACTAATGTCCCCATTGGAAGATTGCCCCTCTATTCCTGTTCTGATGACAACCCAAAATTAACCACTTGTATACTATCCTGTAATTCCCCCTTCATTACCAACTATTTTTTAGTTTTCAGCACTTTGATAGTTTGATAGTTACTCTGTCATGCAACACTGTACCCAAAATCATTTTGTGAGACAGACAGAGCTTTCTTTTGGTGATATTTATAAATCGCTGAGATTTTTATTCTTTATTATAAAAAGGAAAAAAGACCACAAATTTTGAAAGAAAACCCAGTTTCCATTACTTACTGTTAAAAGAAAAAATATCCCAGAATAGTATGAAAACAACCAAAATGACAATTTTGTGGAAAGTAGACACCACAAGGTGATCTCATTTTTTCTCTCAATTAAAAAAAAAAAAAACAATCCCTGTGCTACAGAAACAGAATAAATGAATCTGCAGCTGCTGATCCCTTCATTCTGTCTCCATTTATAACTACACAATCTCTTTTCTTCCCTTGTTGTAAGGGGAAGGGGAGGGATCAGCACACGAAACAGTACAATGTGATCGCTGTGATGACCAATCACAGCGATTGCACGGTACCCCCCCCCCCTTGGATTGGGTGGGTACAGTGTCTCTGTACCCAGCTGTCTAATGACAGGTGGATGCACAGTGATTACCTGGCAGATTGGCTGCTTGGCGGCTACTTATTCAGTGCTGTTTATAAATGGCACTGGGTAAATAAAGGGCCACCAATCCACCACTGATAGATGTACAGCGGTACAAGAGGTGTTGAGCTAATATTTGCAAAGTTAATGTAGGATGCAAACTTTCTGAATTTTATTACCATAAAGAAGCCTTTTTTGTTCCTGAAGCAGGGGCGGACTGACCATTCGGAAACTCGGGCACTGCCCGAGGGCCCGGGGTCAGTAGGGGGCCCCATAAGATGCCCCTGGTACCTTTTTCATAGGCTTTTTTGAGTTTGGGCAAGGACACAGGGGCCCCATGATCCCCTATTGCTCGGGGGCCCCATGAGTTGTCAGTCCGCCCCTGTCCTGAAGTTACAGAAATCGGGCAGATGCTGTTAGTTCTGCAGCTGCCCTAAGAACTGTACATTTTACTTTTGTTATTTCACTTTCCCGGAGTACACAGGTTAAACAGCAGGTTAATCTATTGGCTTAAGTATATGTAAGTACCTTAACTACATCCAGGCCACCTGCCAACTTTCTTTTTTTAAACTTGTTATTTTAGTCTGATAACAGTGGTCCCACAGCATGCATTTGTGCTAGGCTGTCTTGTTGGATGCAGTGCAAAGCATGTCAGTGGAACATGTGCTTTACAGATGCTTTGCACAGCAATTGGTCAGGAGTCAAGTGTCAAGAGCACTGCCTGAAGGGTTCATTAAAACCAATAGGAAGAAGTGGGGAGTATAGCCAGCATCAGAAAGGGCTTGGGCGGCCTCTTAAATGGCCATTTAAATGTGTCCTTAAGGTTTTGTGTATAATGGTGTTGAAGCAATGCAATGCAACACAAGAGCATGCTTTGCTCCAGGCTTGGAGTACTTTTGTCAAACTTTGAGATCCACTCCACCAAAGCTGGAATAAATGCATGCTTATGTGCTGTGTTGTTTTGTTATATGCTTCTTTAATATTCAAAATCTGTGTATGAAAAATATCATTATGTTACCTTTTTATAGTGTGATTACCAGTTGAAAAAAAAATCATTAAAACCAAAAGTAAAGCTACAATGTAGTGCCCATGAACATTTCAGACCATGCTACCCACTAATAAAAGCAGACATTTTAAAAGGATTTTATGGAAGACCTCAATATTTTAGTTCTTAAAGGACATTTCAAAACTATCCAGGAAGGGAAAACTTTTGAACTAAGAATGATAATGTAATGTACAGCGCTGAGCGAACTATTGGCGCTTTATAAATACTGTATAATAATAATAATAATAATATTTCTATTTGATACAAGAGATAACGGCCTTAATTTAATAATAACATAGGATTCCTCACTCATTATCCAACAGTTTTACGACCCCCTCTGTGAGTGTTGCCCCCCAGTCTTTGCTTTTGCTCTGTTTTATCTCTAGTCTAATTCTAGGTTTATAACCATTGCTGTGTACATTTGTTTGTGTGTGTTTTTTTCTGTTTTTTTTTTCTATTCTCCCCCTTTTTACATTTCTTTTAACATTCTGCTAAAACTTTGTGAAGTAGTACTGCTTGGACCTTGAAGAAAGGGGCATACCCCAAAAGACTGTCCTCAAAATTGTATCTTAGTGCAATTAAAAAAAAGTATCACGGACAGTACTCAATTGTTTCTGTCGCAAGTGCACTAATACGGCTACAATCACCTCAAGCTAAATTTCTCCAAAGTGCTACAGAGAGATGTAGTTTTGACAGTTTGTCGTTGTCTAACCAATGGTTGTATTATCTTATTTTTATTGCAGCTTATTTCACTTTTGCTTTTGTATTTTTTGGTTTGTCAGGGGTCTGGTCTCTTGTCTCAGATATAGGACCCCCCATTCTGTGGTACTATACTCATGCTATTTCAGAGCCCGGTATCCTGTGAAATAATGTACATACTGTACATGTACAGGCCTTATCTTCTTATGTACACTTTGAACAGAGTTTCTAATGTGGGGTTCACTCACTGTTAAGTATATGAAGGTGACCTTCATAAATTTGACAACTGTCTATCACTGAATGTATGCTACTGCTTTCTCTACGTACATATGGCTGTATTGTCTGTTTATAGTGCCTGTCAGATTTGGTACCTGAACCTATTATTTTGCTACTTTGATAGTTTTTTTTTTTATTTTATATGTTTAGTATTGTTTTCTGAAAATTCAATTAATACTGATTATACAAAAAAAAAAAAGATTTAGTGAAAGCAAAATAGACTGTGCACTCTGCAAGAGCAGTTGCTCCAAAGCTTACTAAATTATTATTTATTATTATTATACAGTATTTATAAAGCGCCAATAGTTCGCTCAGCGCTGTACATTACAAAGGGGGACAGAACATGTGACAGAACAAAAACAATACAATGCAAAACATGAGGGGATCGAGGGCCCTGCTCTTTCGAGCTTACAATCTAGGAGGGAGGGGGTGGTGGCACAGGAGGAGATAGCTGTGGGGGATGGAGTGGTAGGAAGAGTGGAGGAGGTCGGCAAGTTAGCAGGGGGTGGGGTAGGCTTCCCTGAAGAGATGGGTTTTCAGGGTGCGCCTAAAGGAGAGGAGAGTAGGTGATAATCTGATGGGTTGGGGCAGGGAGTTCCAGAGGATGGGTGACACCCTGGAGAAGTCCTGGAGGCGGGCATGGGAGGAGGAGACCAGGGAACTAGAGAGAAGGAGGTCTTGTGAGGAGCGGAGTGTGCGTGCTGGGCGGTACTTGGGTATTAGGTCAGTGATGTAGTTCGGGGCAGTATGGTGGACAGCTTTGTACGTCAGCGTTAGGATTTTGAATTTGATCCGTTGCGCAATCGGAAGCCAGTGGAGGGATTGGCAGAGGGGGGATGGCGGAGACAGAGCGGTTGGAAAGGTGAATGAGTCTGGCAGCCGTATTCAGGATGGACTGAAGCGGGGATAGCCAGCGGCGAGGCAGGCCAGTGAGGAGGGAGTTGCAGTAGTCGAGTCGTGATATGATGAGGGAGTAAATAAAGGGAAGCTCTGTTGACTTCATCAAATCATGTGTAAGCAAAAATGCAGTTTTTCTATTTTATTTTCCTTGCATGTTATTTGGGTATTCTTGGCAAAGTAAAGCTTCATCTCTGGAACAACTGCACTTGCAGAGGGCACAGTCTATTTGTATTTAGTAAATTCGACCCATTGCTACCTTATGTGAATAAGAAAAAAATACACACATATATATATATATATATATATATATAAAAGAAAATTGGATTGCTGCACATAAAAAACTTTTATTGTTGAAAAATCACCATACAAAATGGACGAAAGCCATACATCATAGTCCATTTTTTTGTATCACACTGTTGTATGGTGATTTTTCAACAATAAAAGTCTTTTATGTGCAGCAATCCAATTTTCTTTTTTCTATATATGGCCTTTGGGAGGGCCTGGTTGCTATATGCACTGTGCTTTATCATCGTTGTGCACTCCACCCATATTACTGCTATATATACAGTATATATATATATATATATATATATATATACCAGAAATATAAATAATTACTAATGAAGAATAATGATGTCACAAGTAATATATTTCTAATATATGGTAAATAGTGAGCGTACGTGTGTCACACGATTGGTTAAATGTTCCTTAATGAAATGTGTTTAACCATGTGAAAATCTATGGAAGATACACAAGAGAAACTAATACTGTCTTTTGTTTCCTAATACCTCTCACTTGTTTACATTCTTTCCCCCCCCCCACTTGTCATTTTGTGACATTTATATCTCTCCCACCTGTCATTCTTCTCCTTTTCTGGTTCCTGTTGTTTAACCCCTCCCACCTGTCAAACCTCACTCCTCCCATTTATCACTCAGTCACAACAAATCTATCCACATAGCAATTATTATTTCCCCACTTATTATTCTTTCATCCTCTCCTTCTGTCTGTTCAGCCTGATGACTTTTTGTTTGAAATAGTGGCATGCTCACTGTCATTTAGCTCCATACTGCAAAAGCTGTAAGGAACTAAGAGCGTTAGATGTAAGTGGTCTTAGTCATTTTCCATTATTTAGCGTTACCATTCATTTTTTTACATTGCAGATACAATGTTATATATTTGTATCCTTTTTTATACCTCCTTCAGAATTGTTATTTTATATCCAATGGAGTCCAGCTATTAAGATCATACATGACCTAAGCGGCTTTTCCCTTTTTTCTGGTTTGTTTTGGTATTACTTTTTAGGGGGGGGGGGGGGGGGTTAGTAATATTGTGTAATAATAGTTGTTTTTTTATGGAAAATTGGTTATTTTAGTACCTAACTGTGTTCTTATGTTAATGGCACCATTAGTCAAATGGTTATACCAATAATATTTTATATTCGCTTTTAAGTGATTTTTGGCTAATTTAAATCTAAACCATGTTGTTATTTGGCACTATTGGTCACAGAACACCACTGACAGTAACATCCAGCATAAAAACAAAGATTTTACCTAATATATCTAACAATCATCTGGACCTAGGATAACCATCAGTAGAGATAACATATTTGTAGACACAGCCAAATTAAAAAAAATTTTGTCTCTGAAGTTCCATTTTAAGACACCATCGAAGTTACAAACTTAGAGCATGCCCTGACTTTAGCATCTCCAGGTGGGATTCACATCAAAGCTACTGCAGATACAGTATATCTTTAAAAACAGTCCATATGGCCCGCGCCTCCCCCGCCGACCTCTCCATCACGACCAACAACGCCACCTTCAGCCCCACCCCGCAAGCCAGAGTACTAGGTGTCATTCTAGACTCCAATCTGTCTTTCCAGCCCCAGATCCAATCGCTGACAAACTCATGCAGACTCCATCTCCGCAACATCTCCAAAATACGCACATTCCTAACTCCAGAAACTACAAAGCAACTCATTCACTCCCTTATCATATCACGACTCGACTACTGTAACTCTCTCTTTGCCAGCCTACCCCAACACAGGCTATCTCCACTTCAGTCTATCCTGAATTCTGCGGCCAGACTCATCCACCTTACCAACCGCACCATATCCACCACCCCCCTCTGCCAATCCCTCCACTGGCTTCTGATTGCCCAACGCATAAAAAATCAAAATATTAACATTGACGTACAAAGCTGTTCATAACACTGCCCCAAACTACATCACTGACCTGATATCCATCTACCACCCAAAACCCACTCTCCGCTCCTCACAAGACCTCCTACTCTCCAGTTCCCTGGTCTCCTCCTCCCATGCCCGTCTCCAGGACTTCTCCAGGGCTTCCCCCATCCTCTGGAACTCACTACCCCAATCCATCAGACTGTCACCTACCCTCCTCACCTTTAGGCGCACCCTGAAAACCCATCTCTTCAGAGAAGCCTACCCCACCCTCACCTAATTGCCGATCTCCTCCGCTCTTCCCACCACTCCATCCCCCACAGCTATTTCCTCCTGTACCACTCTCCCCTCCCTCCTAGATTGTAAGCTCCAAGGAGCAGGGCCCTTGAACCCCTCGTATATTGTATTGTTACTGTACTGTCTTGTGTACTGTCTCCCATCATAATGTAAAGTGCTGAGCAAACTGTTGGCGCTATATAAATACTGTATAATAATAATAATGTCCACTTTTCAATGGCCACACTCACTCTTCACCATGGAGCTCCACATTCAGCCACTTTAAGCGGTGTCCTCAAATGTTGGCACAATTGCAAAGTGCTCAATGAAAATGGAGTGTTCTGTTTACTTCAGTGATAGGCAAGGAGAAATTCATGCCTGCACTCTCCTAAAAGATGAGAACTGCTGGGACATATAGTTCTGCACCTGCATACGCTGCAAAATTGGGACTACTTACATTTCCAGTTCCTTATTAGCTGTAAGCTGCTACCTTTTGTGGAAAGCAAACAAAAATCAAGTCCATCATTAAAAACAGTTCATGTCCATAAGTTGATTAAACCACAAATTCTTAGTCCAGGCATTGGGATCATCAAGAATAATACATCACCTTTTGCTGCCTTTGGTGCTGCTGCTCACAAGATTGGGGTAATCTACAAATGACATACAAACAAACAAGAAGAACGCGCACTAAGTGAAGTAGATTTAAAGGCTTTAATATTAAAATCAAAAGCAAATTGGCTACTCACAAAATTAAAATTGAAAGAAGATGTACTCAACACTCCCAGCATGGGCGCCTCTCAATATTGTAGTCCTGGATAGCAGTGCTGTCAGATGAAATATTTAATTGTCACAAAATAAGATTTCATTCAGTGCCATGCACATTGCAACATGCTGTGGTGACATGTAGTGAGGTGTGCTGAGCTGTGTGTAAAAATGCAGAAATGGTGCATTTTAATGCAGCGTTCTGCAACACACCTACAGTGAAGGAAATAAGTATTTGATCCCCTGCTGATTTTGAATGTTTGCCCACTCACAAAGAAATGATCAGTCTAAAAATCGAATGGTAGGTGTATTGTAACACAGAGACAGAATAGCAACAAAAAATTCTAAAGAAATGCATGTCTAACAAATTACACACTGATTTGTATGTTCATGAAGGAAATAAGTATTTGATCCCCTTCACAAAACATGACTTAGTACTTGGTGGCAAATCCCTTGTTGGCAATCGAAGAGGTCAGACGTTTCCTGTAGTTGGCCACCAGGTTTGCACACATCTCAGGAGGGATTTTGGCCCACTCCTCTTGGCAGATCCTCTCCAAGTCATTAAGGTTTGGTGGCTGACATTTGGCAATATACTTCACTGTATATGGTGTGCCCTTGCCTTTAAGGGTTCCTAAACCCATGACCCTGCATTCACCCACAGTACACATAACATGGAAATGCATTTATTATAGTAAATATAAACTGCTAAATACCATTTCTCATCAGCAGTTAGAGCAGTCTTGTGACTTCTATCAGTGTCCAGCTGAACACTGGTTAAGGCTTGAAGGAGGAGTTTTCATTCTCCTCTGACTGTCCTATGAGGCTGCATAACCCCTGTCTGGACAGGGCTGATTCATCCTGTGCTGATCACATGCACTCTCCCAAGAAAGAAAAAACTCTCTAGCGATACCTACCAAACTGAGCATGTGCTGCTTGACCCCAAGGCTCTGTACTATCAGCAGATGCATTTGGGACAGTAGAAGAAGGGGAGGATCAGAGAAGACATGATCAAACATCCTATTTACACAATGCAGAGGATTAACCCCTTAGGTTCCACAGTGAGTATAGCAAGCATGCTTTACTGCATATACCGACTGATTTTACTGTCCTGAGCTTAGTAACACTTTAATCGATGCAGATAAAAACATTCTAAGGAGCCTCAAGGCTGGATTCACACTCTTCCATGTGCATGCAGTATGTGTGGTAATGCACATGTGTAGGTCTGAATGGGCCCAAAGAGTTTTCTTTTGTTTTTAGCACTACACTGCAGTGCATGGATGTGAACCAGCCATGTGGGAAATAATGGGATTTCCAAATGCATTTTCATGTTGCACCAAAACAGACAATTGTGAATAGGCCCTAACTCTTTCCAACACAATCCAAAACTTAAAAAAAAAAAACCAGTTGAGTTTTAAGTAAATCTGAGATGGAAAGTTTCTTTAATGACATGTCACATTCCATTCAATATATACGTACCCCGTATCTTCCCCAGAACACAAAGGAATAAACACAATAAGCAGAGTTAAATAGATACAGAATAGGATTAATCTCATGCATCCCACTGCTCAGTGGAAGACAATGCTGCTTAATCTTTCATCCCTAACTACCAGTCAGGGGGGGAACATGGGTCTGATTTGTGTGCGTTGTGTTTTCATTCTGGTCCTAGGCATCATCTGTCTTCCCTTCCCTTCCACCCTGTCTGTGTGCTGGAGCTGCAGGCGTTCTCCGCTCCTCCTCCTGCCTGACATTTACTGAATGTCTGGGAAAGATCAGTGTATAATGCAGATGGCAGCTAGGAAGCCTGACAACTACTTGCACTGCGATGATTTAAATCTGCAGAGGACATGATGAATGGATGTCAGGAGGTTCGTTGTGGTACCTGTACCTGACTGAGATTTGACTATGCATTCATACCATTACATTCTATTAAAACAAAAAAATGCTTAAAAATAACCTAGAATCTTTTGAAGTTTTTAAAATAGATAACAGTGAAGTGTTAAAGCATAACTAAAGCCAACATTTTTTTTTTTTTTTTTAGTTCTGGAGAGGGATTAGAACGCCTGTCAGGTGTTTACTGTTGTCTGTACCCTTGTTGGGTGGATTCACCCTCTCACGGAACAACAAAGAGAACACGTTCTACCACAAATTACCTGGGATACTGGAAACCAGTGCTCCAGCCAAGATGCCTTTAATGGAACCGACCCAGACTGCGCTTGGGTACTTCCGTTGAAATACCACCTCCCCATCCGAACACCAACCACAGACACCACAGCCGACCATACAAGACTAGTTTATTTGAACACAGATACAAGATATATACTCAGGGGACAGTCCCCCCTCCCTGCATAATGACACAGGGCAGAGCAATCAACATTTAGTAACAAGAGACACATAGGTATCACAGGTATTCAAACTTCCCACCAACAGACAGTCCCATCAGGAGGGAGGGCTGCTGGAGACCCCCCCCCCCCCCCCCACACTAAGCTAATACACATAAACACATACATCCCATAATAGTTTGCTCCAAAACAATAGAACAATGGGATACAGCCACATAACATTAAACAATAATCAAAAAACCCTCACCCCAATATTAGGACAGATCACCTTGTACCCCTAACAGGCACAGGGTGATTTACACATAAGAGGGATATGGGAAGCTGAGACAGGGGTCTCCCCACCTCTCCAAAGTGAGCTGAGTTCCATGGCTCCCCCACCCAAAGTGACTCCTCTAGTGACACTAGAACTTCTCTGCCAAATCCTGCACCTCTCAGTGTAGCTACAGCACCCCCTCATCTCTGCCTCCCCTGGTCTCAGCATTCAGCAGACTCTGGTAACTGACTCCATTCCTCCTCTGGTCCTTCTCAAGACCCTCCACTTTCTGCTTTCCAGCTCTGTCCCTAAAGGGGTTGCACAGTGATATTAGGGAGGGTGTGGGATTCTTGACATCTGATGTAATGGAGGGTGGGGTGCTCTGGACATCTAGTTTTACAGATACAACCTGCCCTTTGAGGGCAACAATAATGCTGATATGGCCCACAATGAAATGGAGCTTGACATCCCTGCTCTAATACAATGAAGCTGGCTACTCTAACAGAGTAGCTGGCTTCATTGTATTAAAATATTCACCCTCTCTACTTGCCCTTTATACCACTATCACCAAGAGTGAAATCCCAAAATCTCAAATTTTGGCTCCAGAACAGGAATTATGGGAAATTTTCCAGCGGGGACATGAGTTCTGTTGCCTGCCAAGGATTTGCTTTCACTTTCTGTATTGGCTATGGAACAGGAAGTTAAGGGAAATATCCCCAATGAGACACAGAGGGCAAAATAAATTGACAGGGGTTATAACCATCCCTTACTCCACCCAAAAAAAAAGGTTGCCTTAAGTTACGCTTTAAAGAACAACAAAGCCCAATAACATAAATGTAGCGCTATACCCTAGAGGGCTGCTGGCTTTTTGGGTCCCCCTATTCCTGCACAGCCAGGCAACATGCATTTCCAACTTGCATCCACAATCAATGACCAGTCCATGGGCTTATATTTGTTATTTTATTGAAGGGAAAACAACTTGGATGGGGATAAGGGAATATGGGATGCCCAACTTGACTTAGTAGAATAATCTGAGGACAAACTTCCTTCTCAATGTACACAAAAATGCAGATCCTGTACTGTACCCCCTCTGGATAACATCAGTCTCTAAAAGATCAATAGCAAAGGTTCCTCTTTTAGGACCTCTATGTCCCCTGGATGAAACTCACAAAGCCCCGATACTTTGCAGAACATACCAGCCCACTTGTCTGCCTTGTAAAGTGTCCCAGAGCAAGGGATTTAGTTAGCTGTGAAACTGTCCCAGCATGCTGGTCATTGCATCTGGCAACCTCCTTCCTTGTAGGCCTTGGAGGTGTAGAAGTACTCGCACTGTCTTTTGCATCGTGCTGCTATGGAAAGACTGCTGTTCAGGCCTTCTGCTGTGCTAGTCTTCCCAAACTAGACAGGGTGTCTCTTGAATCAGACTGTAGGGTATTAAAGATGCCTTTCTCCAGCTTCATCTCTTCCTTTCTCAGCTCCAACCTGGAGGCAAAGCCCCCTTCCCTGGGGTCCCCTCCCAGGCCTCACGATCCTCAGCACTCCTTCCTCCGCCTGACCACAAACTAGACTAACTCATTGGCCAGGCTCTTCAATATTTATGGGCCCATCTTACCACCCTTCCAGGCCTTCTGCCTGGGGATTGGTCAAACTCCATGAATATTCAGATTTCTACCTCTGTACTTCCTCCCACTAGCTTCTAGAAGTTTCTGTGGACCTCCAGAATGAGGGGGAGGTGATAGAGGCCTGATATACAGATGTTCCAGCCTAATCTTAAGCTGAACCCACAGCAATTATCCAGATTCACATGACTACTGTGAGTCAGTATAAATTTACCTACCCTAACTGTACACTAGAGGGTGCTACATAAGTGTAATATGTTGCAGCTTACAGCAAAGCTCCACCAAAAAGGGGAAGTTCCGCTTTATGCCTTTGTTCCCCGCTCCCCATTAAGGATTGGCACCTTTGGGGAACAGGTACCCGAATTTGACAGGTACCCGCTCCCACTTCTGCTGCGATCGCCTAGGCAATCGGAAGTGGAAGTTGTCCTCCCTCCCGTAGTCTTCTGGGACATGTGACAGGTCTCAGAAGACTATAGGTCCATTCACAAAGGTAGAATGTTTGTGAATGGACCTAGTGGGATGTGTGAAATTATATCAGGAGGCTGAGTACAGGCGGGGGGTGGGGGTCCCGAGGTGGTGAAATCCTTATCTAGGCATGGAAAAAGGAAATGGAAGCAAATACCACCAAAAAAGGTACTAAGTTTACTATTGGAACTAAGTGGAAATTGAGGAGTAACATCTTATTCTTTCATTTCCAATAATTTTTATTAAATATTTCAAAGAAGTACAAAAGCCAATGAGAAAACATGTGGCAAAAGAGGTATACCAATCAATCTCTGGATACATTCTATCGTGCGACAGCACAATAAACAATGTCAAGACATTGTAGTATCCACTAATTGTGGAGCCATCTGTAATACAATACAATTAGCTTCAAGGATTAACTATATAAAAGGCAATCCAATTAAAGTTGTTCTAAACGCTCAAGGCTTTTTACCTTCATGCATTCTGTGCATGAAGGTAAAAAACCTTCTGTGTGTAGCAGCCCCCCCCCCCAACACTTACCTGAGCCCCATCCTGATCCAGTGATGTCCACAAGAGCCTCGGTTCTCTGGGGGCTCTCACTTTTGTATCAATTACACTTCACTCCTGTTTTTCAACTTTTTTGTGTCATAGCAATACAAACAAAAGGAATAAACTTGAGAATGCCTAAATAAGCATTTGTAATAGCAACAATTTTCTGGGTGAAGTGGTACATTATCTAACAGAAATGCAGGGGTGCAAATATTTTTGGCCGTGACTGTAGTTGAGCAAAACGAGGCTTTGACAGCATGTTATCACACACAGGAGTTGCTCATAAAAACAACCTGTGGACCTTGTAATCCCTGGGGTGTTTGGTATTAAAACAACTGTAGACTAAAGCTGGCTATACAGTTACATTTTTAGGTTCAGCCTGTAGGCTAAAGATTCCTCCATCCATGCTACATGGATGGACAAATCTCCTGCTGTGGCAATAATATTTTGGCAATTGGCACCAACAGCTGTCACAATACCTGAACAGTGTCTGTGTCTGTTTTCCATCCCGCTCTGTTTCACTGTTCAACAAATTTTTATTTTTTGCCAGTTTTGGAAACAAAAGGATCCATTTCTTAATGAATTTCACATTCTGAGTTCAAATATAACAATGAAATTTGTCAATTGGCTCTAGTTTTTCTGTAAACGGAAAGTTTTCTACTATAGGCGTAATGACTACATAATGCACAATAATTATATAGATAGATGTCTTTCCACAAATATAAAGCAAGTGATATTGACTACATAACAAAGCCTAAATGGCATAATATATTGCATAGGATTACCAAGAAAAATTATAGCCATAAGCTAAGTTGAATCATTTTAATACTTAGGATTCTCACTAGTTTTGTCTTCAGTTTGTGTCGGTTTTGCTTCTCTTGGCTTTTCTCTTCTATTCGAGGAAAGGGCTATCTCTTACAACTGCACGTGACTACACGCTTCAGGTTCTTCCTCACTTGACTCAACCATGAAGGATTCTGGTGCTTTAGGAATTGGTAGCCCCTCTCCATGAGGAACTGGACGTATTGCCGATGGAATATTTGGATAGTGCACAGATAACTTTTTCTTCTTATTTAGCCCTTTTACAATTGGAGGCACCATACAAAAGTAACAATTACTAACATGATCTGTTGGCTCTCTCCAAATCATTGGCACAGCGAAAGGCATAGATGCCTTTTTTCCATTCAACCATTGCTCTAGTGCCGGTCCCACAAGAATTGCAGCATATATGTGGTGCCCAGCTCTTGTCCTGGTCTCCTATCTTGCAGCCAAAATACAAGTTGTAGGCTTTCTTAATCATTCCTGTTATCCTCCTTTTTTGTGAGATAAAAGTTATTTCACCGCAGATATAGCAGAAATTATCTGCTTTATTCACACAAGTTCGAGGCATTACTGAGTAGCCTATATAAGCATAAAACGAAATGTAAAGACGCTGTCGAACTACAATCAGCTACAGATACTGCAGCTTTTATGCAGTGAAGTGATGCAATTAAAGGCTAATATTGCATCATCTCAGTATACATGCAATTTTCTATTGGTCACCAGTATCAATTGCGCAATATGCAGCTGAAGTTGCATCATAATTTTGAATGGCTTACGTCATTAGATGGGTGAATATATCATGGAAACTAGAGCCAATCAACATTTTTTAGGGTCATTTTCGTTTTCAGCACCCCAAAATTATGTAAGATTAGCTAATTTTATGCCCAAAACTTTTTACCTGTTGAACAGTGTTTCAATCACAGGCTGTCAGACGGGAGAATGGTAACAAGACCACCCACTGAGCAAGTTTCGTCCATTGCATCAGGAACTAGCTGAAATTGGCACAGTGTATGGCCAGTTTGAGAGGGGTAGTGGTCTTACTTTGTATCCCTTCCTCTCTAAGCTGACACACGATAAAGTGCAAAATAAACTGCAAACATTTCATGAAATGACAGCAATCAGCACATTTGTAATACAATTTTATTGGTTTGCTTGAAAAACATTCAGGTTCTTAAATACGTCTCAGTAGTTTCCTGTTCAGGATTGCACACAATAATATTTTCTCCTTTATTGAAATTATACTGTACTTGTACTGTTAAAAATGCAGCAGTTTAGTTGCACTGCGATAACTTTATAAGATTAATTGGCTTCACGGAGTATAAAGGCCTGGTAATTAATCACATCTGGGCAAGATCTCTGTTTGTTTTTCTGCTTTCATGTGATTAATCTGACCAGATTAATCAGTGTTATACTAAAACACGTGATTCTGCCCCTTCGCGAACGTTTCTGGTATTTGTCCACCTTTTGCTCTGAAATGAACTGCGGTACTTAGCCATACCTTATGGACAATGATCAGCTGTCATCTGGTTCAATTTACAGATATTGGGTGATGAGAATTTTTAATAAAACAGACACGTAGAAAGGACTTCATTGAATTTACCAGCAAACAGGATTCCATTACTGAATTCTCAGCCCTCAGGCAAATGTACCTTTGTGATTTGTTCTGATTCCAGTTACAGTGTACAGGGCCACTGATAGTGGGCACAACCAGCCCTTCTGGACCATGCCTGCGTCAGCCTGTGTTGTGCGGGTATGGTGGCCTGGTTACAGAGGGGCTGGACCACAGGAGGTTGCCCCACATCATATCTATCCAATGGTAGCAATAGAGTCTGCAGTAGCAATAGATACCCAAGGTGCCTCCATTCAATAAAAAAACAGGTAGTCAAAATAGAGATGAGCGAATTATTCAAAAATTCGATTCGGCTGATTCGCCGAATTTGCAGTAGCAATAGGGATACCCAAGGTGCCTCCATTCAATAAAAAAACAGGTAGATGCCACGTTGGAAAAGAAAAAAGTGCCATCCAAACTGGTACGATAATCGTATCTTAATAGTATCTCTGACTCACTTATTATAAAAGTGTGGATTATAAACCTAAAAATAATAGAACGTGCAAAAAAAAGAAGAAGGCAGTTGACTAGTGCAAAACCACCTGGAAAGTGGTTAATCAAATCCTATGAGGAGTAATATTACTACAAATGTAAATGCGATATTGTATTTATTCGATCACTTAGATCATGAAAAAAGGTTGACATTGACAGAGTGAACATGTT